TACTTCTCTTGATCCTCACAGTATAGCATGCCAACCCCATTCTATATGTAACTTACTTCCTTAGGCACTGTTTCTTCTGTGTGACTTTTGTGATAAAAAACATAATTGTGCCTTGATCTGTCTCACTTTAGTTTGTCTGTAATCCTTATTACTTTTTAAATTTTGTTTCATGCTACCCTAAAGTGAACTTTTTTAAAAACCTGGGCTTTCTGTAGTGCCCCAGAAATATGCCATACTCATTTCCAATACAGTCTTCTGTGAATGGCTTTCCATTTTAGTCTCTCCATCTTCTTATCTGACCATTTTCTAAGGTTTGATTTCATTGCTACCATTAAGTCAAACAATCTGTTTAGTTTATCTGCTTTTCTTACAGCAATTAAAAACAGTTTATCATATAGTATTGCCTTACATTGTATTACTTTTGTCTCTCCAGAGAGGTTGTAAGCTCTTCAGATCCAGCATCCCATTGTGTGATGTTTTTGTATTCTTCATAGAGCCTAGTTAGTGCTGTGTTCAGAATTTGGTTGTTGAATTTCAGTAGAATATAAGTAGACCATCCTTACCACATTAAAAAAGTTGATAGACAATGGTTTACATTTCTTTGATCTCCTGGTAAAAGGATGTTTATCTAAAAGAAACACTTTTTTTTTGTGTGTGTGTGTGTGTGTGTGTGTTTAAGAAAAAAGCATTTATTAAATTGCAATACAAATGCTCCATGACTTCTGGTGGGCACAGGGTGTGTACAGATAAACCCATGAAACACATTTTGTGTAAAAATGTAAACAAGGAAAAAAAATTTTGCTAATAATTTTTCTTTACTATCAGTCATAAATACCAAATTTCTGGAGGTAATGGAAAAAATAATTTGGCATAAAAGACATGGGTTGACATGATTGGTTTTGTCATTAAAATAGTATACAGTTCTGAAAGAAGCCCGAAACCTGAGTTGTGTCTTCCTTATCTGTAAAATAGAATTAATAGTACTCAAGGTTGTGATGGAGCTGAAATAAAGTAGTGGATATGGAATGCTTTGTAAATATTAAGATGATATATTGATCTTAGATAGTTTTGTTTTGCTCTTATCTTGAATGATAGTTCGAATTTTACAAAAATACATATTCCTTCCTGTATGATATACTTTCTAGAATCACTGTAATTAATGATCCTTTGACAGTAACTTCTCTGATGACTCCAGGTCAGGTTTACCTTGTTGCCTCTAAAGAGGAGCAGACTTCTGTTCTAATAAATTGATGGGTATGTTATGATGGAGGGCTCCAGCAGAGGCACCTAACCCAGACCTGCAGGGCAAGGGCCATACTTCCTAGAGGACTAGAAGTTAGCCAAGGGAACATCTGAGGAAGGGGATAAGAAAATGAGAGATAAGCAGCTAGACTACACTGTATTTAGAGCTGTTAAAAATGGGGAAAATGTGATGATTGTCATCTCATTTTAACACTTTCATAGTGATAATCTGCTGGCATCCCTTTTTGTAACCATTGAGTAGAACTTACTTGCTGGACCTTGTTCATCTTTTTTCCCCTGTCTAGCACAGATATATTTACTTACTTAGAGACAAAGCCAAAATTATTTTCTTCCTAGACATCGCTCGTTGTATGTGTTTGTTCTTTTGTTTTTGGAGACAGAGTCTCACTATGTAGTTGAGACTGACCTGGAACTCACTGTGTTGCCCAGGCTGGTCTTGAACTCATAGTGATCCTCCTGCCTCAGCCTCCTGAGTGCTGGGATTACAGGTGTGTACCACTATGCCTAGCTATTGCTCTGTTGTGTTAATTGGGTTCTTTGCAGTCTGTATTTATTCTGGAGCCACCAGATACCCCCATCATTCCCTTTTCGTAAACTGTTTAGAGGATTGTGAGGGCCTGCGCGGTGTTTCATTGGTAGAGTGCTTGCCTGTCGTGGAAAGGTGGGGGAGAACAAAAACAAACTGAAAATTGGTTTTGGAGGGGGTTTTGCTTTCATCTATAAAAACATTTACTTCAGATGTTTGGAATAGCTTATATAGAGACATACATATACCTCATTTCTGCTTAGTTTTGGAAGAGGGTTAGAGGAAACTGACAAAATAGTAGGTTTTGGAATTTTAGAATACAGTAGAGTGCCCAGAATGACACCTGGCACATTAAATATATAGCTGGATAAGTTAATGTGCTTTATTTAAGGCAGGGACACATTAACAGAAGGAAAGATAATGTAAGTAAATGAATAGCTGCTAGGTTAAAATCTCTAAGCTGATGAGTTGGAACTAAGCCCATAAGAAAATAGCGGGTATTCATAAGGAGGCAGGACCCTAGATGTAGTTTCTTATAACTGATTTATTAGCTGAGGCTTTGATATCATGCAGTTGTATAATCATGTATCAGAACTTGATAAAAACCTCAGTAAACTTCATTCAGTTTAGTCTCATAATGAAACAGTGTTACTTATCTTAACCATATAGAAGATTTGAGGGATAGTTTTCAGAGAGGGATAAATCAGGCTCTGTAAGATATACTCCTACAGAGCTAATGGAAGAAAAGAGCAGGTAGTTTCAGTGTTTGGCTCAAGACTTGTAAAGATACCATTCAAAAACTTGTGGGAAGAATCTGCTTTTACCCCTTCCCTAATACTTAACACTTTTTTCCCTGTAGTAATTGAAAATGATAATTATGGAAGATGATTACTTTTTTGTTTTTTGGTGGTGCTGGGGATCTTACCCAGGATCTTGTGCAAGTTAGTAAGGTGCTCTACCAGTAAACTGTATCCCTAGCCTATTACCAGGTATTAAATGCCAGGGAATATTGTCAGGTGTTGGAAATATATAAGTATTTGTCAATTTTTAAATTTTGATTTTGTTTTTTGGTACCAGGGATCAAACTCAGTACCTTGCACTTAAAAGGCAGGCATGGTGACACTGAGCTAAATCCCTGGCACTTGTTGATTTTTTTAAAAGTAATTTTTAATCTCCCTTTACTTTCTACAAGATCTTGTTTTGTAAACTATGCAATTATCTTAGAACTGTAACTTTCAAGGTAAGCTAAAAAAAATTCCTACATATTATGGACCTCTCCTATCTAAAAAGAAGTAAAATTAGATGCTTAACATATTTAGGGGACCTTCATTTGGGATATGAAAGAAATGAATGAACTAAAAATGTCGGTGCTACCTAACAATTATCTTAACACTTTCAGACTTCCTGTTGTAAATATTTTGTAAAGACCCTGCTACTGTCCTGAAACTAAACTCATAGTAATATAACTTACTTACAAAATTTCAAATATCGTATAATGCCTTCCCTTCTTATAATATAAAAGATAAAACATGTTAATATATTGCAGTGTAAATACTTAGACCTTACTACATTGGAACACTTAATGAGATAGAGCAAGGACTACAAATATAGGCTGAGTATGCATGGGTGGTATAGGTGATTCAAATATAGTAAGTGCCATTAAACTGGTGATCTGATTTTCCAAGACGATTAACTTTTGATAGAAAGTGTGCCTCCTTTTTATTTGTAAGATAAGTATAATACTGAAAAATTCAAATATTAAAAAGAAAAGTATGCAAAAAAGACCTTTTTATTTGTAATACTGTGTCCAGAAATTTCCAGACATTCTTACAGACTTGTGAACTACCCCTTGAAGGTGGTAAATGCCCTCCTTCTTACTTTGAGAACCACTGTTGTATAGAAACACCTAGTGTTCTATATGAAGAGAACAGTGGGCCAAGGACTTAGCTCAGTGGTGCCTCTGCCTGTCTCGCAAGCACAAAGTCCCAAGTTCAATCCCTGGTACTAGAAAAGAAAAAGAAAAAAAAATTTTTTTAAATAAAATAAATAGGGTCGGGGATCTGGCTCAGTGGTTCCACTGCCTGCCTCATAAGCGCAAGGGCCTGAGTTTGATTCCCAGTACCAAAATAAATAAATAAATAAATTAATTAATTAATTTTTTAAAAAGGGCCAGGAATTTAGCTCAGTGGTGCCACTGCCTACCTCACAAGCTCAAGGTCCTGAATTTGATCCCTGGTACCAAGAAAACAAAGGGAACACTACTGACTGATAAAGGGAAGAGTTTTTAAAACATTTTAATTTATTGGTAGTTCTGTGTTTGTTTTGAGCAAGTTGTTTTATACCCACATGTGCTCTGGAACCAACCAGGAGCTTGTGAATTGCTTGGTCTTTGGTAGAGGTATTCTTGTTGTGGAATAGTTTTATTCTTGGTAAAACGTAGCTAGAATAAAAGACTTGTGAATACTGTATATAAGAAATATGAGTAGTTTTAATAATTTTTACTTATCTTAAAAGATGACTGCTTTAAAAAAAATAATGACAGTGTACTATGTTGTTTCTAAGAATTTTAAACATAAAATTCACAATAGTAGCACAAAGAAAGGATGAGGAGTAGAAGTAGATTACAAGGCTCTTGAAGCATGTGTGAAATGGGATAATATCACATTAAGAGTGTGATAAATGATGTACTGAAAGTTCTAAAGTAACCATTAAAAAAAAAAAGAATGAAACAAATCCCAACAGGGGGCAACTAAAAGACAGTGAAACAGATAAAGTGGAATAATAGTCTAAATAATAAAGTCAGAAAAAGCTGGGGAAAGTGATCTCTGGTAGAAGGTCAGATAAGTTCCACGAGCTGGTGGTTTATACTCCCCTCTCCCAGAGCTGTGAGCATTGAAGGTGGCCTAATGTCCTTTATATTCAAAGGGCTAGTACAGTTTCTAGAACTCAACCCTCTGTATTGGAAGTCTTTGCCAGTACTCAGGGAATCTCCTACTTTGTACACTACTCTCCTTTACAGCTTCCACAGTTACTTGGCACCTGTCTCTGTTCCGTCATTTTTAGCTCTCTGAGAAGAAAAGGGTTAATGCTTTGTCACTAATTTCTATATATGCCAATCCAGGATATAGTATGATAAAGTAGAATGAATTGAGCTTTGATATTTCTTTCTGATGTCACAACACTGCACCTTTTTTTCTTCCTCTGAATTTAGAGACATGAAAAATGCTGTCATTGGAAACAACAAGCAGAAAGCCAATCTCATTGTTTTAGGAGCTGTTCCAAGGTATGTTTGGTATCTAATCCCCTTTTCTGCCATTCACGCTATATTTCAGATATATTTTTTTTATCCTCAATATTAAGACCCCCTTTTTAATATTGTCATTTCTATTTTAAAAATGAGTCCCCCCCCCTTTTTTGTTACTGGAGATCAAACCCGTGATCTTGTGTTTGTTTGCAAGGCAGGCGGCAGAGCACCACTGAGCTTAATCCCCAGCCCAAAATAAATCCTTTTTTTTAAAAAAAGGAAATTCTTTGAAGTACATGAATTATCTCTCAGGGGAAAAAAAATTTAAAAAAACATATATATATTTATATATACACACACACACACACACACACACACACAATACCAGCAAGTGGAATAAGAACTGAATGTATTAATACATTAATAATTTGGAAGACCATTGACTTATAATACAAGAGTTTGTTGGGTACCCAAGCAGTGTACACCAGCTTGATACTTTCTTCGCAATCTCCTTAGAGCTTTTTGCAGTTTTTGTGTAGGTGGGTGGTTTATTAGAATTATTAGGTTATTAGCATTCTCAAGACCTTTTTGAATTCAAAGAGAAGAAACAAACCTCCTTAATTTTTCTTTCCTACTTTTTTTCCGATTTTAATAATCTCCTGTTTTTTCAGTTAACATAGAAGTTTGATTTATTCTTCTGATGACCTAGTGTACTTCATTTTGGCAGGCAGTAGTACTTACATAACTTCTCCTTACTGCCTTTGCTACACAAAACTAAGTTTTATATACAGTTACTATAAGTTTTTTATTCACAGTTTTTTTCTTTTGATACAGGGTTAATGGTTTTAATGTTTTTAATATCAACGACTTCAAACATATTCTTAATAGTCACAAAGCTCTCAGCAGCTTTTCTTAGGGGATTTGTGTTTTAAGGAACATAAGGATTCTACTTTAGAATATAAGGAAGATGATCATAAGTGGTAAAGGGTTAGGGTTTAGAAACTACTTGTTTGGCAAGCTGGGCTACATTGGAAGTGGGAGGATTTTCTCATTTTGCAAATGGAAGATTTGGACAGAGAAGAGTGCTTTCTTTCCATGCTTGAAGAGCTGATAAGATCTGAGTATTCTATAATTTAGGCTAGCCCTCCACTGTCTGAACATCACAGTTCTATTCAGGGCCCATTTCTAGTTTGAATTTAATATGCAACAGTGCCTGTTATTGGGAGTCTTCATATTTTGAAGAGACTACCCCAAGAAATAGCAGATAAAGGATTATAGTATCATTTCTACAGAGACCTCATGTATGCAACTTTCACATCTTTAGTTTGATAAATTGAGATTATTGTAATAGCTCTTTTGTTCAAAGTGAAGAAAATCTCTTCTGGACTTTTCCCAAATGTTTCTCTACTGCATTAGCAGATGCTATAAATAAATTACCATTACCCAGAAGGATTCAAAAAAATCTCAGCCAACCATATTTCTAGTTTGTAGAATATACTGGTAGCCTTCTGTTAATACATTGTTTGATCACATTAATTTACTTTTGTTTTTTCAGTCTCTTTATCAAGTTCTTTCTTTTTAGATTGTTGTATTTGCTTCAGCAAGAGACATCAAGCACTGAGCTAAAAACTGAATGTGCAGTGGTACTGGGAAGTCTTGCTATGGGTACTGAAAATAATGTCAAGTCTCTACTAGACTGCCACATTATCCCTGCCTTACTGCAAGGTACGTAGGAAACCATTTTGTATCAGTAAAGATTAGAATTAGTTTGCAGTGCTTTAAATTCTGGTTGAAAAGATGAATCTCATATAATTTCTGTTAATAGGACTGCTGTCCCCAGACCTGAAGTTCATTGAAGCTTGCCTCCGATGCCTACGTACCATCTTTACCAGTCCTGTCACTCCGGAGGAGCTATTGTATACAGTGAGTTTTGGATGTTTTCGAGTCATTAATTATATTTCACTAATAGCCTACTCCCAACTGGCTTAGTGTTTCCAAATTCTTCTAATTGATGTGTGGAAAAGTCTCAAGAAGTGTTTGAGTGCTTCCTTATTTATAAATATCACATGTTTTAGGCTTTGTAAATAAGTGAACAATGGTTTCAGACCTTATGGAATTTATAAATTGTTGAAAAGAAAAAGGGCCCATTTTTATCTCTTTATGTGACTCAGCAAGAGTGTATATTTTATGCTACTCAGTTGGGGTTCAAGTCCTAGAAAGCAAGTTTTGTAGAGAAGATAATTTTTTTTTCACATTGAGTTTATTGGTACATTTTAGGTATACAGTACAGTTACATTCATCATTGGGATCTTGTGCCTTTACATGACAGGTCTTGGTTCTCATTTTTCCCCCTTATCCCTTCCATCCCTTCACCTCCTCCCTTCCCTATTTACAAATACTTTATTTCTATTTTTTTGTTTTCTCATGTTTTTTTTTCCTTTTCCCTTATTACCTTTCCCCTGCCCTTCCCATTTCCCCTACTCTTTTAGCCCTTTTCTTCCCATTTCACATTGTCAGTTATATCATTAGGATCTTATGTACCATTATAGTTTTTCACTCCAGAGAAACTATTTGGTATTTATACTTGTGTGACTTATTTATTCACTTAGGAATATATCCTCAATATGTATCCATTTTTCTGTGAATGACTCTAATTTCTCATTTTTTATGGCTGAGTAGTATTCCATTTTATAGAAAAACCACATGCTCTTTATCCATTCTCCAACTGATGGGCAAATGGGCTTTTTCCAAGTTTTAGCTATTATCAATTACACCACTGTAAACATGGGTATGCATATATCACTGTGATATAATTCTTTTAATTCTTTTGGAAAGATAGCTAGCAGAGGGATGGCTGAGTAAAATGGAACCTCTAGTCTCAGCTCTTTGAGGTATCTCCATATTGATTTCCATAGTGATTGCACCAGTCTGCACTCCTACCAACAATGGAGAAGGGTTCCTTGCTCCACACAACCCCACCAACATTTGTTATTGTTTGATTTCTGGATAGCAGCCATTCTTTGTGGGGTGAGGTGGAATCTCAGTGTTGTTTTTATCTGCGTCTCTCAAATGACCAGTGATGTGGAACATTTTTTCGGGAAGGTAAAATTTAACCTGGGTCTTAAATGGATAAGATTCCAAGAAGTAGAGGAAGGAGGCCATTTTAGGAAGGATTGGTGTAAAAGAACTACAGTATGTTAGGCAGAATGATTTGCTATGGGAAGGTCATCATTATTTCAGCTAAAGAGATGGGCCAGAACCAGTTTGCTTGCCAGGCTAGAATCAGAGAGTACCTGTGAGAGAGAACCCAAAGATGTTTGGAGTCAGCTGGTGGTTTTGAAAAGCCTCAGGGATTATGAAGGGATCTTTTAATCTATTGATAGAATTCTTTTTTTTTTTTTTTTTTTTTTTTTTTTTTTTTTTTTTTTTTTGTGGTACCGGGGATCGAACTCAGGTTCTTCCACTTGCGAGGCAGGCCACCGAACCACTGAGCTAAATCCCTGGCCCCCTATTGATAGAATTCTTAATGAAAATTATCTAGGCCAATATTTAAATAGCTTACCTACAGTCTAAATTTAAAAATATATTTTCCATTGCTTTGGCAAATACCTGAGAACTAGTTTGTGTGTGTATGAATCCTGAGATAAATGTCACAGCAGTTACCCAAATGTAATGCCCTCTGCTTTCTATCTATTGTTTCTCATTTTCTTTTTAAAATTATTTTTAATTTTATTGGTACAATTCAGATTTATATAATGATTCTATTCATCCTAGGGAATTTGTACCTTTATATGATATATCTTGATTTCTTTTTTTCCCCATTAGCCTCCCTTCCCTTCAACCCCTTTCCCCCTTCTTTATTTACAAAATCCCATTTCTATTTTTTCCTTCTTATTTTTCTTTTTTCTTCCTTCCTTTCCCCCCTCCTCTCTCTATTCCCCCTTCCTATTGAAATATTTTTTTTTTCTTATTTCACATTGTCTGTTACACACTCTGGTCCCTATTTACATTTTCAGTTTCTTATACAAGAGAGACAATGTAACATTTACACATGTGTCCATTTTACTTCACTTAAGAATATAGCTTCAAGATGCATCCGTTTAGCTATAAATGTCTCAGCTCTCCTTCTTTATGGCTGAGTAGTACTCCATTGTATTGAAAACCCACTTTATCTGTTCATCAGTTGATGGGCATTTGGGTTGTTTCCAAGATGTAACCACTATAAACTGTCAGTATAAACATGGGTGTGCATATATTGCTATGGTATGAAGCTTTAGATCAGTGGAACAGACTTGAAGACACAGAAACAACCCCAAACACACTCAGCCACCTTATCTTTGACAGAGGGGCCACACACATCCAATGGAAGAAGGATAGCCTCTTTAATAAGTGGTCCTGGAAATACTAGCTTTCTACATGCCGAAGACCACAATTGTACCCATGTCTCTCATCTGCACTAAACTAAAATAAAAATGAATCAAGGATCTAAATATTAAAACAGAAACACTAAATCTTCTGGAAGAGAGAATAAGGAGAACTCTTGAGGTCATAGGGGTAGGAAAAGACTTCATGAATAAAACCCAGACTGCATGGGAAATAATACAAAGAATTAACAGCTGGGAATCTGACCCTCTTAAAAAGCTTTTGCATTGCAAAAGAAATAATCAACAGACTGGGAAAATTCTAGCCAGTAGTCCCTCAGACAGAGAACTAATATCTAGAACATATAAAGAATTGCAAAAAATTGAACCCCCAAACTGAAGGACACAATCCAAAAGTGGGCATCTGAAATGAATAGACAATTCTCAGATGAAGAAGTACAAACAGCACATAAATATATGTAAAAGTGTTCAACATCACTGGTCATCTGAGAGGCACAAGTTAAAACAATGCTGAGATTCCACCTTATTACAGAAAGGATGACTGCTATCAACAAATCAGCCAATAACAAATGCTAGTGGGGTTATTGGGAAAAAGGAAGCCTTCTCTACTGTTGGTGAAGACTGGTGCAATCACTGTGGAAATCAGTGTGAAGGAAGGGTCCTCAAAATATTAGGATTAGAGGTCCCATTTGACCCAGCTATTCTTCTGGATTATCTGGGTATCTTCCTGAAAGAATTAAAAGTGCATTTTCTTTAAAAGTGTGCCAGTTGTGATTCTGAGCTCATCTGAAGAATTAGTTGTCAAATTGGATGCATACAAATCAGAGCTATTGAGATCTTATCCAGAATAAAGTATTTCACGAATATAAGCAAAGAGAGCCATAGGTAAGGCAAGCATGTAGAGGGACATGTTCTGTGACTTCATAGTCCATCCTTTCTCCATTAGACACATACTCATCTGTCTTCAGTGATAAAAATGGTCTGTGAGATTTGTGCATCACTTTACACAGTAGTGTCTAAATTATGAAACATGAAACTTTTTTTTTTTTTTTTAATGGTACTAGGGATCAAACTCAGGACCTTGTGTGAGGCAGGCAGTAGACCACTGAGCTAAATCCCTGGCCCTGAAACATCTTAATTTTTAATTACTCTGAGTTTTATCTGGCATTCTTCAAGAAATCATGCCTTATAAATCCATAGATTGTGTACTATAACAGTTCTTAGCTGAGCATGTCCCAAAATTACTTGGAGGGTTTATTGGGGTTGCCAGATCCTACCTGTAGAGCATCTGATTAGTATTCTGGTGTAGAGCCCAGGAACTTTCACTTCAGGACTACGGAGAGCATTCTACTTAAAGCATTCCAGAGAGAGCGACTTGACTAGTATTCTGTTTCCCTGAAATCATATTGTCGTATTTTCAAAGAAGTTAAACCAATTATCTTTTTGCTGTACTCTAGGAATTTCTCACCCACAACAGCTCAGGGATAATAAGTGGAGTAATTGATACTAGCCAGGTGTTTGAACTCCTTCAGTCCCTGTAAACTGATTCATGCCCCACTAGTGGATCATGGCGCACAGTTTGGAAAAGTCTGGTTTAGGCCAACTTTTTTACAGGAGAACAGTTAAGACCTAAGGAGGTTAAATTTATACAGTGAGATCATCTAAATTATGAAATGTCTCCCTTTGCCTCAGAGATTTTTATGCCTTGGAGATAATAAAGAATCCTAAAAAGTATTAGATGGAGGGTGAACTGACAGAGAGGTCTTTCAGTGTAATTGACTGTGAGTTGGCTTGTAACTCACTAGCTGTAAATGGTAAGTCAAGCACTAAGTAGAGACAGGATAGTCTAGTCAGAAGAGGGTAGGATTTCTAGTTTTAAATCCTGTTCATAAGATGGGTAATTAAGATTTTTGGCTTTTTAGGTTTTTTGTTTTGTTTAGTTTTTTTTTTTTTTTTTTTTTTTTTTTTTTTTTTTTTTTTTTTTTTTTTTTTTTGCTTTTGCTTTTTATTTGTTGTTTTTGTTTTGTGGTATTGAGGGGTTAAACTCAATGCCTTCCCAAGGAGCTGTATCCCCAGCTTTTTTTAACATTTTGAGGTAAAAAAATTTAAATTTTTTACATTTTAAGCTACCCAGGCTCAAATTTGCAGTCCTCTTGCCTCAGCCTCCCAGAGTGCTGGAATTACAGATGTGTGCCACAATACTGGATTTATTTAACAGTTCTTTGCCTTGTTTAATCATCTGTAAACTGCAGGTATATAGACACAGTTGACAGGGAGCAATTGTGATGATGCAGGATGGGTTATATTGAAACTATGGGAAATTGGTGACTGAGAGAATAGTAGAAGAAAGGGAAAAGGCAGAAATAACTTTTAAGACTATAATACTGTTTTTACCTACTGCCTGTTTTGTCTTTGCTTCTCACTGCTTCCACTTCTTCTGCAAGTGGAACCACTGTTTCCCCTCCTGTTTTAATGTTCTCATTTTATCTCTTCCTTTTCTTTTTATTTAATACTTGACTTTGTTTGAGGGATTCTAAGTTTTGCATTTTGTTTTTTAAGCTGCTTGTGACAACACAGAAGGCTATACTAACAAAGAAAAGATTCCACTTTTAGAGAATCAATAGCCTTTTATTTTCCTACTTAACTTTTATATATCTTGGTTGTCCTATCCCAGTTATACATGTTTGTTTGTATGTGGTGCTGGGTTTGAACCTTGAACCTCATGCATACTAAGCAGGTGTCTGCTATTGAGCTGTATCCCCAGCCTTTACGCTTTTTTTTTTTTTTTTTTTTTTTTTTGAGACAGGGTCTTGCTGTGTGGCTCAGGCTGGTCTTAAACTCACTATGTATTTCAGGCTGGCCTCGTACTAGCTGTGATCCTCCTACCTCAGCCTCCCGAGTGCTAGGATCACAGGACCATGCCTGGGCCTTATGCATTCTTTTATTCCTTGCCCCATTATTTTTGAAGGCTTTCAAATTGTGTCTCTGGACCAGAAAAATAAGCCTTTTGGGAAGCCAGTTATGATGCAGACTCTCAGATCCTACTTCAAACCTATAGAATCAAAATGTATTTTTGTTCTTAAGAAGCATAGTTCCAGCACTCCCAACATTTCTTTTTTTTTTTGGTACCGGGGATCAAATTTGGATGCTTGTGCTTGTGAGGCAGGTAGCAGAACCACTGAGCTAAATCCCCACCCCCCGATTAGAAGGCTTGAGCTAAGTCTCCTTTCCATCTGTGGTTCAGGCCCAATTCTCTTTTGATGTATAATTTCTTTGGCATCATAAAAGGAATTCTTGGAGAACACTGCAGCAAGGTGAGTTGATTGTTTTCTTTCCTAAGCCACTATCTAAATGTCAGTAGTAAGCACATAGTATTTGGGCTTTATGTGAGAAGTTGCTAATCATGTAAATTGTTTTGTGCAGATTATGCAGATCAAAATTGTCAAATTTTTTATGTAGTAATTCTTACTTATGAGCTATTATTGTATAGTTTATTAATCATTTCACATTGTTGTTTCAAATCTGATTCCTGTCAAGTCTTATTGAAATGAGACCGTTGTATTTTGAGGATATAGGCTTTTTATGGGAAAGAGATTGAGTTTGCTTTCATTATATTTCATTTTGAAACAGATATGAAAGTCCCTTTCCTTGTTCTTTGTCTAGACAGTTTCGATGATGATGTTGCTTTTGTTCTGCTTTCTTCCCTGATATATTGCCATTTTGATAACAGGCTCTTGTGTGCACCTGTTCATAGAAACACTTTGTCAAATATATGCCCAGTGTCTTAAGTTTCTTGTTGTCGTTCTCCTTTTCTTTCACTCCAGGATGCCACAGTGATACCACATCTCATGGCACTGCTTAGCAGGTCCCGCTATACCCAGGAGTATATCTGTCAGATCTTCTCACACTGTTGTAAAGTAAGAACCAGAGTAAATGTTCTCTATAATATAACATCTTAGATGCCCTTAAGAGATGTGTGTTGTTTGTGAGTCTCTCAGAGATAACCTATACATACATAAGTAGACTTATTAAAGAACAAAAACAGGCTACTAATAATATTTATTGAAATTCTCACTTCTAAATTGTTGCCACCTCTTAAGCAATTGCTCAGGTTTCTGAGGCCCATTTTGGTGAGTTTAAGACCACAAAAGCTCACACACTTTCCACCCTGAAGCTGCTGCCTCACTGACCAGTAGGCACCTGTAGCTTCATTTGCAGAAAGACAAAATGAGAAACTTACTAAGAATCAAAGGAAGCTGGGGATTTAGCTCAGTGGTGCTGCGACCTCTGAGTGGCAGGTCCTGAGTTCAATCCCTGGTACCAAAAAAAAGATAGAAAACAAAGTTGGTGAAAAACAAAATGCTTTTATCTTCCTGTCTCTATTTTCCTACTCTAAGAAGCAATCATTTTAAAAAGAGAAATGAGAAATAAAGAACCCAAGACACATTCACTTTTCAGCTGTGATGTATTATGTTTCTTCTCAAAACTATAATATTACCTGAAACCCTCCATGATGTGTTATGGTAGGTTAGGGTCTCTTGTAGTTAGCTTTAGAATTTCCCTTGAGTAGTCATTGGTCCTGAGTTGTAAGCATGATGGTGTCATTCTCTCCTGTGGGCATAGGAAAATGGTATGCACATGAAATACAGAATTCATAGTAACTCTGTTGGCTCTGGTAATACACTGTTTAGTAGTTGGAAGGGCATGTTCCATATTTTGGTGAGGTAAAGAGATAGCAGTTGTAGAACTGGGGTGAGGTCAGATATGGCAGTCCCTTGTAGGACTAAAAACAGTGTCTACCATGCTTTTTAGGGTAGAGTTTTGCAAGCAAAGGGTAACTGAGAAATTTACATGGTAGTACATGTAGCTTTCTACATTTAAGTGAATATATCTTTATTAAAATGAATCATACTTTTCTTAATGTATTATTTATTTTCTTTCAGGGGCCAGATCATCAAACAATTTTATTTAACCATGGTGCAGTTCAGAATATTGCTCACCTATTAACCTCACTGTCCTACAAAGTAAGATGTTAAAAATATGGCTAAATTTTTATCTTGTTTTTGGTGTACGGAAAGACGCCTGGACAGGCATTATGATCAGTAGTAGTATTTTATCAGTAAAATGTTAGAGTTTTATGCTACCTAACAATTTTCTTTTATTGAAAAAAGTTGGCCTTGCATCTCTATTTTGTTTTTGTTTATTTTTTTTTTAAGAATATGATTGTGCTGGGCCAGGGATTTAGCTCAGCGGTTCGGTGGCCTGACTTGCAAGCGCAAGGACCCAAGTTCAATTCCCAGTACCAAAAAAAAAAAGAATATGATTGTGCTAATGATTTTCACCTCTTCAACAGTATTTCAAGTCTTTCCTGGTTAAGTTTCAGTGCCAGAGTTGCTGCTTGAGGTGATGCCTTCAAATATATATATATATATATATATATAATCAATAGCTGGTTGTATCAGGAAGGATACAGGAAGAATACAGATTTCTTATTTGAAGCCTTTATTTAGCCATAGTGACTCAAACTCATACACCTACATATACATTAACATTTAAAATGTATTGTTTTGTGTTTTGAGTTAAAAAGTCAAGAGTTTCCAGGCTTATTAAATTTTTCTTTACTGCCTTTTATGTATACATTATTACGCATTGAGTTCAGACTTTGGCCAGTCGTTGTTGCCCAACTACCAAGCTTTAGTAAATATTGAGACATTATCCTTTTGTTACATTAGAGCTGGATATAGCAGAATGGGGAAGCAGTCACTTGCTCTTTTGGTCTATAGTTTTATTTCAGGTAGGGCCTGCTAATATGTCTGTTTTCCCTGCCTCAGACATCTGAAGTTTGGTCTTGGGAAGAACTCACAAGAATAGGAATGGGAATGGAGCCAGCTTGAAACTTAACCATAGGCTGGAGAAGGAAATCTACTTTCTCTGCCCTATGCTACAGAGGTCAAAATCAGTTAGCACTTGCATATTAAGAAACAGTGGTCGGGCATCTATTTATTGTCCTGTCACTTTGCCATTCTTAGGTTTCATTAATTCTCCCTGTTCTTTATTTCTCATCCTTTCTGCGCTAGACTTACTTTAACAAATTTGAAAACTTTTTACAGCTAAGAAAAAGCTGTGACTTGAGGCTTATAGCTAGCAGGACGTGGGCATCATTTTTCACTCTTGGAGCTAGGACACAATGGGGACCCAGGAATGTGGGAAGTAGTCCACCTGGGTGTCCAGTGCTCTTTGGCCAAGACAGAAATTTGGTCTGTTTCAGTCTCCCAGGAAATTCTGAAGCTAAGCCCCTAGCACATGTGAAGCCTAAAGATTGTGGAAGGGAAAGTGGTCGTATTAGTCTTTGTTTCACTGTCTGTGTCATTAACCTATTCTGTGTTCCACCAGTGGGCACATGTACAGCATTGTCCAGGTGAGGAACAGGGGTTTTTTTTTACACTCCGTATGAGTGCCTGCCAACTTCATAAGAAGGTTGTATGTAGAATCAGCCTCAGAAATAAGGATGAAATTATCTGATGAAAACTAAATGGAGAGAATGAAAAATAACAGCTGTCCTGGGAATTCTGCAAATAGTAAAACATATTGCATGTGATTAGTAGATTGGGCCCTTGGTACCATTCCAGGCCAGTAACCTAGTTTTAAAGAATAATAGCACAATTCATGAATATTTTAAAAGTTAAATTAGTCCTTCTTAAACTTTTATTCTTATCATCATTTCCCCTGTTCTTTGCCTCCATCCTCTATCACATACACATTTCCAAGAGTAATTTTTTCATCTTCAATTCTTGAGTTTGTAGTTAGAGAACAAGAAATGTTCCATTTGAAAGAAATTTGGTAGTTATTATTAAGTTCCCTGTCTTATAAAAATTGTTATTTAATGTTCTTTTAAATTTGAGTACAGACTTATCTTAGTTATATTACTACTTCCCCCTCACTTTTTTCTTTTTTATTGCTTCAATATTAATTTAAACCTTTTTCTTTTTTTTGGTACTGGGGATTGAACTTGGGACCTTGTGCTTGTGAGGCAGGTGGTAGAACCACTGAACTAAATCCCCAGTCCAATTTAAACTTTTTATAATGAACTTTTACTGTACTCTTCAGATATACAGGTATTTTTGTTATTCCCTTGAGACCTTCTTCTGTGTTTTGGGGTTTTTTTTTGTTGTAGTTTTGTTTTGTTTTTCTCCAGTACTGGAGTTTGAAGTGGGAACCTTATGTATACTAAGCAAATTCATACCACTAAACTACACTGTATCCCACTTTTAGTTTTTTAAGCAGAATTAAATAGTTAACTTATTCAGAAGAAATATTTAGATTCTGAGACACTAAAATCATATTTGAAAAATAAAATAAATGCCTGTTTTATTTGTTCATTTATTTTTACAGGTTCGAATGCAAGCCCTGAAATGCTTCTCAGTTCTAGCTTTTGAAAACCCCCAGGTATCCATGACCCTGGTAAATGGTAAGCTGAAACTTTCGGTGGCACCTCTGCATGGTTTAATTTTTGAATTTTGTAGATTTAAAGAATTTCTTTAATCTTTGTTGTTTGTTTTATTTCTAGTTTTGGTTGATGGAGAATTGTTACCGCAGATATTTGTGAAGATGTTACAGAGGGATAAGCCCATTGAAATGCAGCTCACGTCAGCAAAATGGTAAAAGTCAAAACAGTATGGGAAGGAATAGTGTTTTATCAATACAGAGTTGTTGTTGTTGTTGTTTTTTAATGTAGAGTATTTTTTTGTTTGTTTTGTTTTTGTTTTTGTTTGGTACCGGGGATTGAACTTGGGTCCTTGCGCTTGCAAGCCAGGCCACCGAACCGCTGAGCTAAATCCCCGGCCCTAGAGTGTTTTTTGGACAGTCGAATTTTCTCACTTCTACTCCCCATCTTGAGATTTTGAAATTTGAAAGTCATGTGACTGTCACATTATAGTAAATGGATGTCAGTTTTTTATACTGTTGGTTTATTACAATGTGCAGAACAGGAACTTTGATGTAACATCTATGACTACAAAAAAGTATTACATCTTCAGTTTACTCTCTTTGTATTTCAGTTCAAATAAAACAGATTTAGATCAAATGTAACCAACATGTATTATGCTGAATATTAAGCCAGAAAAATATAAAGACAGAGAAATATGGAGTGAGAATTGCAGTTGCATTATCAATACATTAACAAATATGCTGAGCACCTGTTGTTCAGGGTTCTAATTTTATTTTGTAATAGAGAATTGGGACTTTTTTGTTTGTTTGTTTTGTGGTACCAGGGATCGAACGCGGGTCCCTGTGCTTGCGAGGCAGGCAGTGGAACCACTGAGCCAAATCCCTGGCTGGAATTGGGACTTTTTGATGAGTCACTCATGATCATAAATTTTATTTATTTTGTGTTTTTGTTTGCTTGACTTGTCTTCAAAGCTGACTGAGCCTTTGCCTTTGTTAGTAAAGTGATACAGGTTTTTTAAAAAGTCATAACAAAAAAAATTGAATAAAAGTCTATATTTTTCCAGCCATAACAAAATCATGATAAGCCTCACAATAATAATAGTGAGAGAGATTTTACAATATGAGTTGAAAAATTCTAATACCTGGCATACTATTTATATGACTAAATTTCAGATAAGAGAATATCAAAATCTCCCTCAAAGGTAGTACTATACTTGATTTTCTTGTATTTACCATAAAATCTTAAAGGCAAATAATTTTTCTTTTAAAATCTTAAATCTTAAGCACAAACTTACTTTCTGTCATTTTATTCCAGTTTAACTTATATGTGTAGAGCTGGAGCAATTCGGACAGATGACAGCTGTATTGTATTAAAGGTGAGCTAATTAATTCTCTGAAACATGAAAATTATATAGTGTTAATACATATTGGATATGAATTTGGCATTGCTGTTTCTTTTTATATATTTCTTTATGATTTGTGTCTATAACATATAATATTAAAATACCATTCTTTTCAGTGGGATGCAATGTAGCTTTTAAAAATTGGTTTTAGATGTATTTGGAGCATCAAAGTGAAATATTTATTTCCTTATCACAACTTCTTCATTTTCTGGTAATTAGGAGGAAGAAGAAATTATAAAAGTGTTTAAGCAAAATGGAAAATATACTTTAATCCTTGATTTTTCACTCAATTTACTGCACAGTGTTGTAGGCAGTTTGCCAGTTCTACAGGTAAAGATTTCATTTCACCCTCACAGCTACAAAAAGTTTAATGAAACAGTATGTACCACATTAAAACAACTATCATCATTGTGGTATAACAAATGTAACCTTATCTTAAGAAAGCCTGGACAAGAGTTCATCCCTAAAAGTCCTAAGAACTAAATTCTGGTTTTAATACCTCCACTACTGACTGGCTTGATGTCCTTTATTCTTTTGTTGCCTCAGACTCCTGATTATGAAAATAGAGTCAATAATTCCCACTTATCTACTTCACAGTGATTTTGAGTAGCAGTATATTAAATACATTAAAATACCTTATTTGCTGTAAAGACAAAGTAAGTATAATAAAATTGGTCTTGGTATTATTTTATGAATGTGAATTCTCTCATTATCATTGTCCAAGGATAAAAGAATATTAAGACCATTTTGCTTTAGTCTTCAGTGAAAAGTTGATTTACTTCATGAAATCTGAGGATCTCCCAAGTAAACAACTCTGCATTAGAATGTTGAAGGCTTCTGTACAAGTCACTGGTTTATTTTCTTCTCTAACCTTTATTTTGTCATTGGTAAGATAGATTTAGTAGTATATCTTTATGTAGTACTTGCAGACATTAAAACTTAATGAATGCAAAACTTCATGAATTTATGGAATCAATAAATATTAGTAATAGTATTGTTAGGAAAAGAATCGACCTTCTCTAAAACATAGAATTGAATTTTAAAGCCTAATAGAAATCAATAGTGAATAATAAAGTGCTAAATTCTGTGGTGTAAACATAATAAAAACATAAAACAGCAGAACACAGTTGATGCAGTAGTTGAAGAAGGCTTTCTCTAACTCAACATTTCAATTTCTACTTTGACATTATCCTTTAAATTGGATTTACTGCCCCTAGAAATAGTAAATACATGGCATATTTTTATTGAGAGCCTAATGTAGTTAAATTACCAAGATCAGTGCCAAGATTTTTGAAGGATTTCAGAAGTAAAATTGAACTAGTGGATACCACAGTCATTCCAGCAAGTTCTTGGGAAAGCCTAACAGCTGCGATTGATGCATTTAACTCACATTTTAGGAGAGTTGTTGGACTCTAAGAAAGGTGAGATCACTGAATTTTTAAAGTTGTATTTTGTTTTTACAATTCTAGATTTTAATCCCCAGAACAGAAAATAAAAGTCATCTCAACTAGTCTGGGGATTTAGCTCAGTGGTTTCGCTGCCTGCCTTGCAAGTGCAAAGACCCGAGTTTGATCCCTGGTACCAAAAAAAAAAAAACAAAAACAAAACAAAAAAAGTTATCTCAACCATCTAATCACTAAAGAAAAGATGGCATACTTTATGGCAATAATTCCTGATTAAAATACTGGATCTTTTTTAGGTAAATAAATATGCAGAAACAGAACCATCAAATATAATTTACTAGGGATGCCTAAATGTGTTTTATTAGTTTTTCAACAAAGCTTTAGTCTTATCATAAAAGCATATTAGAGCTTCTAGTAATACAGTTGGTACAATTAGAGTTTAGTGTGCCAGCACAATTGATTAATCTGCACTGAATTTTATTTGGTTTTGCATTTTAAAAAACTTTTGTCTCTGAAAGTCAATATAGGAAATAATCACAAACATGACTTCCAGTACAAAACATTGTTGATTCATCACTGTATCCTCTTCATCAAGGTTTTGCTTTAACAAAAGACAAATAATTAATCTCCCTACCTTTCAGACATTGCCTTGTTTGGTTCGAATGTGCAGTAAGGAAAGATTACTAGAGGAGAGAGTTGAAGGAGCTGAAACACTCGCATACCTGATTGAGCCAGATGTTGAGCTACAGAGAATCGCTAGCATAACTGATCACCTCATTGCCATGCTTGCTGATTATTTCAAGTATCCCAGCTCTGTGAGTGCCATCACTGATATAAAAAGGGTATGTTCTCTTTTACTTTTTAGCAGCTGAAAAGAGGGATTTTTAAAAAGTTTTTCTTACTGCTCACAATTTTGAACCAGTTGATAATAATTGTAACTCGAAGACCTTTTAAATAAAGGCGTCTTTTGCCTTTGTCAACATAGATGATACTTTAGTGAATTTTTAAAAACCAATTTGTTTAATGTTTATTTTCAGGAAATTTTTTTATTAAGCATACGAGCATGAAAAAAGAAAATTGGCTCTCAAGTAAACCCCCATTATATCAACTTCACCCAATCCTATTCAGAATCATAGAATCATCTCAGTTGCTATATTTTCATGCTTTAGGTCAAAGATGATCTTTTGTTTCAGGTGACTGAATGATCTCATGTTACAGTCCACTATAATCTTTCTCTTTTGCTTCATTTTCTTGTCTTTTCTTTCCATTTTTCTTTTTCATACTGTGCTTTGGACCTACTAGAGAGAGCCAATGCAATCATTTGTTTTGAGACCACCTAGGACCACCTAGTTTGGGGTCACCAAGGACCAAATAGTACAAACTTTTTCTGAAAATATAAGTTCCTTAGAATTGACAGATAACTGCTTTTAACTTGTTGCTTCTCAGCCTATTTTCCATATCCATTTCTGTAAGGCTAAGAGATTCTACAAAGGAAGTTTTTTTTAAGACAGTCATGGTATGCTTCTTAATTAGTGAGCGTTCAGTACTACTTCATAATTATGACTTTTTTTTTCTTTTTTTTTTTTGGTAGGACCTTGTGCTTGGAACCACTAAGCTAAATTCCTGGCCCAGTTATGACTATTTTTGATGCCAGTGTTCTCACTGGTAATCATCCTTTTGACATTCCCTGTGCTTCTGAAGTCCTTAAATCTTATTTATCAGGCAAAAATTCATTAGCACTTAATGATGAAAGTAAACTATTAAAAATATGTCTTTTTTTTTTGTCTTAGGAAGGGCATAAAATAATATTGATGTTTGTACTAGTAATGTATACTGCTCTCTGTTTTAAAGTTATGTGCCTATTCTTCCTTTAGTAGTATTTTTTTATGTAGTAGAGGTGATAGGGAAACCCTAACCATGGTCTCATAAATATTCTTAGGTTTACTCCCCTGATGAGGCAAAGAAAATGTTTTGTCTGGGCACCAGAGTGAGGAAATATAGTTTTAAGAACTGCTGGCACGAAGTTGTATAGCTCATTTAACTAAAATTTAGGTGATCATCCTTGCTAGTAGTGTTGTTGTTTTTTTTTTTCATTTCCACCATAGTAAAACCAGGACAATAATTTTCTTAAATGACTTCTTGTTACCAAATTTGAGTAAGTTTGTTTTATCATCTTTAATTTTGGTGGTAGATTTTCCAAGGAGTTCTGACTACAAAAGTGCATTTACCCCATAAAGAAAAGTCTCTCCTATTCATAAACATGAGATTTTTATGCTATATTAGTCCAAGTCAGAATACTGTGTAAATTACGACTAATATGTAGTTAGGACTTTATGGGTACTTTATAATTTAACCAAAAATAAGTATTGTATGTTTTAAAGTTTCTCCCATAATCTATCAATACCTGCTTTTGATTAAGACAGTTTTGGAGCTACTTTTTAAGAATTGCCTTAGGGCCAGGGATTTAGCTCAGTTCTGCCGCCTTCCTCACAAGCCCAAGCACCCAAGTTTGATCCCTGGTACCAAAAAAAAAAAAAAGAATTGCTTTAGAGCTACTCCAAATGAGTTTTTATTCATTACTTTGTATTTTGTGGAGTTTTCCTTACACTAAATGATATTACCCAGGTTGATTTTTGTATTGTTACACACTATAATCCATGACAGTTAAAATAAAACTCTTCAGTTGCTGAAGCTATAGACAGCTGTCAGATTTTTCTAGCCGATATGCCAGTTAGTTCTTTAGGAAGTTTCAAAAGAAGTTCTTAGAATGTTTTGAACAGCATTTACAATATGGAATAATATTAACTTTCCAAGGTAACTCCTTTGAAAAAAGTGGTACTCATTTGGATGAATAAGTTATAGCTTTTAGTTTAAAATTATCTATATTATTGATATGTCTTGTATAGTTCATAGACTGGTTCATAGTTATTAAAAATACTTGAAGATATGCCTCTTTTATTTTCATGGTAGTTTGTGGATAAATCAGATTTATAGAAAAATCAGTAACTAAGCCGTATATATGTTGAAAGGTTCCATTAATTATATTAAAGTAATCATTCTCTAAAAATCCAAGACAAGAAGGAAAACAAATGCCCTGAACATGTGTTAGATAATCTTAATAGACAATAATGGTTACCACAGTATATTGTTTATTGAGAGTTTTCACAAAAGGGTTCCCTGTTTCCATAAGCTTCTTAAATGCTGAAATTAGACCAATACTATTTTTCCTTGTAGGAAAACCTCCTGAAAACATCAGTGGGATAGCATTCAGTTTATCAGCTGTAGTCTCAAGCCAGAAAGGCCTCAGTTTGCCTTCTATTTTAGGGAAGCAATTCAAAGAGCCACTGCAAGTAAGCATCAGAGCCACTAAAACCACTATATTGGAACCCTGAATTTTTAAGGGCCAAGACATTCACAAAAGCTTTTCATATATTGGTGTCAAACATTGTGGAGTTTCTCTTAGCAGACTGCATTTCAGGTCATGCTAACTCAAATGCAGGAAGATACCAGTCATAAATGAGCAGAACCCAAAAATAACTAGAAAATTCAGTGCAATATTAATGTGTTGGTTGTTAACGAATTTTTTCTTCATACTCAGTTTTTTTAATTGAAATTTTAATTTATGGACTGAATTGGAACATTTCTTTTTTCTCTTTCTATAGCTTGATCATGACTTAAAACATGCTCACGAACTCCGCCAGGCTGCATTCAAGCTCTATGCTTCTCTTGGAGCAAATGATGAAGACATCCGGAAGAAGGTGAGTCTGGGAGAGGGGCGTCCCCCAGTCCTGACAGCCAGCAGGCAGGGAGTGACATCAACCTGAAAGTCGTGGTGAAGAGCACTAACAGTGACTGTTTGAATATAATAAAGCAGAGTGACAAAAGGCATAATTGAAGAATGAATGGGACCTGGATTTGGGGGGTTGTTTGTTTTTAGAACATAGAATGGCACGGCCATGCTGGAATGACAAATAACTGGCCTGCTTTTTTGTGTCATTAATATGGATTATTATGTTGCACATTTTTGCATGTGTTCTGATAAAAATCAATTTTAGCACTGTGAAGCTTCAGACACCTTGAAAGACCTAACATTAGAATTGTAAATGTTATTTATGGAAATACCTTCTAATGCCATTGAGAAGTTCAAATCTTTATTGTACATTGTTCTTTGATATGTGGCTTAGTTTTATGTTTTTAAAAATTTTTTAATTTTAACTTTTTTGCTACTGTGCAAGATTAATGTGAATAAAATCTTTGTGGAATGATGATTTTATGTTTAGTGAGTGGTCATCTGAATTTTCCAGCTCTTCAAAAATGTGTCACCCTTAAAATACTACAGTCCAGTCTAACACTGAACTCATGTTCTTTATAAGAATAGTACTATGTAAGAAGTAGAGTGTAGTGTTCTGACTTGGCTCCCTCCAAAAACCAAAGGCTGAAGCTTACTACTCAAAAACACTTGTAATCTAATATTCTACACAAGGCTTTCAAAACCATCTGTAAGTACAACTACATGTTTTAGGAGAGTTATTTACTGAACATGGCAGGTTACTGAGTCCTCCCATCTATATTGGTATTTTAAGGAACACTAAGAGAGAAATCACAGCGTATTGGCATTTACGATGGCTTAGACAAGTACTTCAGGTCTCTAGAAAGAAATATGGAAAAACTTAAGTTTGTTGAAAGAAATAAAAAAAGAATTATCCTTGAAGATACCGAATTAGTAGCAATAAGATCAGATCTGTGAGCAGCTTTCATTTAAAATCAATGTAAAAAGCACAACTAACAAGCTGAATATTTTCCATATACCTCAATCTAGTTTTGCCAACAAGAGGTTTTGATCTCTTTTGAAATTTAGTTTAGTTTTAGTGCTTACCTATAAAAATCATTTTTGAGACATCTAAACTTTAAGCTGTCAATTGTTACTTCAAAGCAAACATACATTACTAGCGATACAATATTCCTTATGTCTAAACATGATTTATGGGTATTGACACTGGTCTATTTTGTTCACTTTAGACATATAGTACATTACAAGGGAAGGGGCATTTATAACTTAAATACAGTGATTTGTTTTTGAATGGTTATTAAGGCCTGTTGGAAACAGAAGTATTTGACTTACTCTTACAGCTTCAAAAGACCATGTCATAGGCTGAAAGGGAGACAGAGAGATCATAATGGGAGGAAATAGGATGTCCATATGTACTTCTTTGTACTTTTTTGTTAATAAACTATTGTTTTGGAATTAATGACTTAATTTGTGATATCATGTTCTAGAAATATTTGCACCCTAACAATCTAATCAGTAGTCTATTAAAATTTGTATTCATAATATGTGTAATAATATCCTGGTAAGGCTAACTCCTGGTTATTTCTGTAGAAAGATTATAAATAAAGAATAAGTTATAATTATTATAGTTTTTGTGTGATAAAAATGCTGTGACATTCTTATGTGATGGGATTATATAGTTTTTTTAGGATGATATTTAATTTCTTGGAAATTAAATGTTTTAATTAACTTAGAGTTGATAGTATATACTGATGAGAAATTGTAAAATTGAAAATATAATTTTGTGATAAAATCTACTTGAAGACTGGTTTTAGGAGTGAAAAATCCTTACTATTAGTGTATAAAACTGATAAATAACTTTTGAATACATTTATTCTATTTTTTAAAAAATTATTTGGCTAGATTTTAATTTACTTTCTTTATCTATGAAATATTTTTCTTTTATCCTATGCCTTATGTCCTTTGTATGCCTTTTTGATGTAGATTCTTAAAGTACAATGTTTATTATTGTTTTTTTTAAGGTAGTATTAATACTTGCTAAGATTTCAGTTAACTAAATTCATAGTCTGAAAGAAATTTAAAGGACTATGGAACCCACCCACCCCCGCACCCCATCCCAGCCTGGCCACCACCAAAAGGAGAAAAAAAAAACTTTCAGAAAAAAGATGAAATGTTCAGTTGGTCTGCTTTTTAAATTGAAAATGGGAACATAATTCAGTAAATAACATGTGCCCCATGTCCTACTATGGCCTGTTAAGGAAAGGAAGTAGAACAAAAAAGAGAAAACAAAAGCAAATAGATAACTGAAATATATATATAAAGAAGGACACCAGCCTTCTTCTTCATGTAACTTTATCTTAATGCTTCTAAGAACTTGTAAAGGCCTGCTGTGTTTTTATTTCTTACTATCTTTCCCTTGGAGCAGACAAAAATTAAGCTGAAGACTGAGTATGACTTCTAAGTTAGACATTTACCATCTTTACTTTGGAGCAGTGTTGGTATGATCCCATGAAAAGAAACCAGCTGTTCCTGGAACCTAATTACTATTCAATAAATATTTGTTGAATAAGTATAGAAATAAAAATGCAGAAATCACAGAGAGTGCATATTTCCTTGGATATCTCTATATCCTGTGCAGGGAAAAGTAGGTATTTTAATTCCTAGCTTTACATCCTTTATCATTCTGAGACATACTTGCAAATTTTCTGACTTTTTTGCGATGTCCTGTCAGAGAGTGAAGGAGGGTGGTGATGCAGAATTCTGCAGATAAGAGTGAGAAGCGTTACCATTGGCTGTGACATGAAGAGGGAGAAGAAAACCAAGAAAAGATGGAAGATCACTGAGCTTGGCAACAGCTATAGTCTGGTCACTTTTCAAAGAATTCAAATTACCTGTAATAATTCTGATTCTGAGTAGATTGTAGTTAGGAGCATAAATTGTAGTAAGAGCATAGACGGAATTGAGAGCTCAGTAGAAGAGTGCAAATTATGATAGTAATAACTGCACTGACAACAGTGCCAAATGAACATTAGCTTTACTCCCTGTCAAGCAAGTTTGGTTTCTAATGATAGCCTTTACCTCATATTAGTGATGATAAGGAAACAGAAGTCCAGGTCATAGGGCATTAAAAAAGGAGAGAAGTCACAATGTGAAGTAATAACTGTTTTAGATACTGGCTCACCAGGAAATGGTTAACAGAGGGAGAGGCAGCAGTGACAAATGTTGTAATTTTGAAGCCGGTTCTATAACAGAGAATTTGCTCTTATGAAGATTGCTAGATTGATACCTAAGGATCATCAATTAGATTGGAAATTGAAAAATGATTATTTCTCTTTTACCCTCTTCAGGGAACTAGAGTTTGTTAAAAGTGGTGTAAAAGGTAAATTGAAGAAAATTAGTAGTAGTATAAGTTGAAATGCTAGGAAATTAATAAATTAGCCAGGATATTTTATTTTGATAAAATACATATTACAAATGTTAGATGAAGTACTTATTGTAGGCTTTGCTCTCCTGAGGCATCTAACAGAAGCCTTAGAAAAGCTTTTCTCAGGCCAGGGATTTAGCTCAGTGGTTCTGACATCTACTTTGCAAGTGCAAGGATCCTAGTTCAATCCACAGTACCAAAATAAAAAGCTTTTTTTTTTCTCTTACATTTGAATACTTAATTTTAGCTCAAGATACCTTTTGAAGAACTAGAATGTAAGCTCCATGAGAGCAGGGATATTTTTGTTTTGTTCATTCTCAACTCTACAACATGGTGCATAGTTGACAATAAATATTTGAAGAATGAATGAATGGATTAAAAACAAACAATTGGATGAATGAACCGTATTGCATTCTTCAGTACCCATTATAAATTACATATGGTCCTTTTTCCATCAGGAACTTTCCTAGCCTCACTAGCAATTTTATAAGTATGTACAAAGAGGAAAATTTTAAAGGTTGAAAAATATATATTTGATCATATGTATGGAATTTCACTATTCTTAGCATAGAGAAAATGCAGGGAATTCCTATTTTTCAAGAGATAGGCAATCCCCAGGGACCTATCTTCTCACTTGAATATAGGTGAAAGAGAACAGAATTTATTTCAAAATAATTTTTACTATTATTTCTTAGTTATGAAATATAGAAACTTTTTTTTCCTTTTTTTGGATTTTGTTTTTGTTTTTGGTACTAGGGATTGAACTCAGGTCCTTGTACTTGCAAGGCAGGTGGCAGAACCACTGAGCTAAATCCCTGGCCCTCCTTTTCTAATTTAATCTAAATAATTTATAGAATTCACAAGAGTGAATCTTGACTAAAGTTTCTAGGCATAAAAATTGTGCCTTGGCTTATAAAAATTAACCTGCCCCTTCAGAATCATCGTATACTGTGAAGTATTATTGCACCTTTATAAAATACCTTACTACTTAATGAATATGTGGGATTTTAAAGAGGTCAATAATTTATTCAATTCTACATAAACTGACTGACCTCCATTATCCAGTGGGTAAAATGGGGGAGCAAGTTGAAAGGGGAGATAAAAGAGCCATGAAAAAGCTTTCCAACTTAACATTTATAATAAAATCTGAGTAAGTCGGAAAAATTTAGCTCAGTAGTACTGCTGCCTGCCTCCCAAGCACAATGTCCTAAGTTCGATCCCCGGTACCAAAAAAAAGAATTTGCTGAGGGCTCGAAGAAGTGTTTGAAACCAGTTTAAATGTACACGTTGATATCTGTGGGGCTATCCTTGAATCAGTTTGTAATTTAATAACTTTAGGGGATCACTTGTAATGCTTTAATAAGTACTTTTTATTTACATTTCCAATAACAAAACAGAATCTTAACTTTTTGTCCTTTATGGGAAGAAAAGTCATCCAGTCATAGGTTTATCTAATGTATGTGGAAAAAAATAGGTAAAGGTGGGATGTTTTTTCTTCTTTGCCCGCTTGTTTGTTCTCTCTCCTCTTTCTCTCTGTTTTTTTC